AGGATAACTTCTTCAGCTACTGCACAAATGTCATTTTATTTGCCGCAGGCCATCCATATAAAATGGTAAATTTGGGTCAAGGATGTAGCTCAGTGGCAAAACACTTGCCTAGAGTGTAGAAGGCCCTGGGTTTGGTTCTTAGTGCTGTAAAATGGTAAACTCTGCCACCACTTTACTCCAAAACATTATTTCCTCTGCCTCATTTTTTTTTCTGTTTCATTTGAGACCATAGAAAAGTTTGTCCCACTTCCAATGGGAGTATGGCTAGTGTTTTTGTTCATTAACACAGTGCTTGTCACTGGTACAAATTAAACAATAAATATTTAAATAAATTAATGCAACTAGAACTTTATTTTCCTCCAGTGTTGCCTAGAACCAAAGTTCTTTCAATTGCTGGAATGTTCCTCTAGTATTTCCAAAATGTACCCAATATAACTTCATGCTTTTATTGGTTCTTCTTAGCCACACTCAATGTTCTGTATTTGTCTCTTGAAGTTATGACCTTCATATTAGAGTTTTGCCTTCTAGTAAATTATTACTATTTTGGCCACTCCTTTTTTTGCTATTTTGGGGTGGGGGGGTGTTGTTTCATAGAAAGTTTAGTGTATAAACTGTCTCAGATAACATTTGAAAATTCAGATTGTCCTTCATCTCAACCAACAGCTCATTACTCCTGAATATTCTCACTAAAGAGGATATTTCCTATAGCTAGTACACTTTCTTTGTCTACCAGCCCCAACTTTGGCATAAATCATACGATGAAATATTCTAATCAGCAATGATCTCAGCAAAGAATCCAATTACCTCTATTTCTGTGGGCTGATGGCATGTTAATCAACAAGTTGTCAATTCAAACATAAGGAAATCTCCACTTTTCCCACTGAAGACTTGCCCTTTCCAAGTTTAATGAAACTGAGTTCACCATAATACCCATTAAGAACACTTGAAGGTAGTTTCCTTGGCAGCACAAATGTGGACACTTTTCCCTCTAACTCCATGATTTTGTTTAGAGTCCAGTCCATATTCTGGTAGACACAACAGGCTGCAACATTACTTAACATAACATAACATAACATAACATAACATAACATAACTGGTGCCATAACCTCTTATCTAGTGATTAAGAAAGATCACTGGTAGAGAAAGAGGGAAGTGGATTACAAGTAATCAAGCCTTCTTTTAGAACATCACTGGCTTTTAAGACAAAGATAACAAATATATGTCGAAAGATGTATATTCATTTTGACACTATATAGTTACAAGTGAGAGAACAGTATGGCAAATCCTGCAACAGAGAAGTTATAGAGAAATACAAGTCCCTAATGAGCAACAGGGCACTGCACCAGTAGGAAGAAAAGATACTCCAATGTATATTCAAGACTTAAACCATATAATATTCATGAAGTTCATGGCTTCTGTTTCCTCTATCAAGAAAAGGTAAGGTCACTTCTGGGTGAAGACAATGGAGTAATACTGGATTGCAGCTGTATAATTAAGGACTTGACAGGAAAGTGGGAGGAAGAAAATAACTTAGCCACCAAAAACATAAAGCATGCTAACAAGGAATGGCATACAGAAAGATTGAGAATCAGAATAGGATTTAACTAACCTTGTAGGAAAAGAAAGTTGGTGACATCTTAACAATTCTTATTCCAAGTCTAGAACAAATTGAGGAAAGAGGCTGTTCAGAGAAGTCAAAGAAAAAGAAAACCTCTCCATAATATAAAGTCCTTGCCTACCATCAATATATTCAGAGTTACCTTTTTCCTAGCTCCTAGCACCCAGCATCCAGCTCACAACTCTTCGTTAGTCTTTATAAAAGAGATGCATAAAAAAATGACCTTTGATACTCGCACTTTATGAAAATCTTGAATTTACACATTCCACTTAATCTCCCCTTCTCATCTATCAAGCTCAACTTGGGTGAAGCATTCAGTGTACAGGAACCTTCTCATCTCCACCAGCTCTTCTCCATGACTTCTTTACAAAGAAGCTCTACAGAACCTGGATTCCACATACCATCATCTAGGAAATGTCTCCAACTCCTTAGCCTGATTCTACTTCCACCAAAAACACTAAAATAAACAAAACTAATCTAACTCTTAATTCTCTGCACTATACTCGCAGCTAGCAGTTAAATGTTTCTGGAGAAAACTCACATCAGAGATCTATCTAGCTCCCAAATACATATTCTGCCCTATTTCCTTTTTAAGATTCCAAATTTCTTTGTCTTCAAAGTCCAACATCAACTTGCTTTATCCTTAAACTATAAGTTCATTTATCTTATACATGGCTCTACGTTTGTTTCTGCAATAAGCTAGTCATTACAAAATAAAAATACATTACCCAAAAACACAAAACATTTTCAAACTGTTTTACAGTCAAAACCACCATAAATACTAATGATGCTAAATTGTGTTCAAACAACTTAAGCCATGATGAGGCTTACTTTTACATCTATCAGTGATTATAGACAGAGTCCTGATAAAAACTTTCAAACCGCTCCAGCTCAAAGAACATTTATATCACCTGCCAATTTAAAAAAGAAAAGCAGATGCCATCTTCACACTTAGTCTTAACACTGCTAAGTCTAGGAAGGAAGTTCTGTAAGAACACATAAACTTGTTTTACCACAGTGAATGACATAGTGTGTTCTCTCCTAGGAATTTGTTAGCAAAAGAAGCAGAATCCAATAAAATGTCAATATGTAGTAAGAAAATCTCTCAGATGTCTTCAGCTTCAGTGTGACCTCAGCTCTATTTACATTAGTTCAGTATGCTTTGGATAAGGATGGAATATAAACTATAAATTCTGTGACAAAGGGTATACTATAGATACTTGATTAGGTTTTCTATGGTCATTTTAAAAACAGCTTAAGTCTTCCAATTCACACTAAATGAGATCACTATTCGATTAAATTAGAAAAGAACTTATTTTTGGAAAAGAAAAAGGCATACCTGGCAATGTGCTTTTAGCATACATATGCCTGAGCCTAAAATAATAACCCAACAGTGAATTCACTGTTTTAGTTCACAGATATGGATCTAAGAGCAAATGAAGGGAACAGAATAAATTTGTATTTATTGAGCACTTGTGAAAAGAATGAAAATTAAATTTGGATATGGTCCATTAAATACTTCATTAAAAAATTGCCATTCCAGTTTAACGTATTATTACTGGCATTGCCAATATGATAATATTGTTAATGATTTGATATTTGACTATATGGGAATGTGGTTTGTTTTGAAATTTATAAAATGTTAAAATCAGGATATTTATATGTAAAATATTGGGATATACTTTTAATATTATTACAATAACAAGAAACTTGACATACTTCAATTGTAAGTTCAGTAGGTTATGAAGCCTGCTGACTTTACAAAGAACTCAAAGTCTAGAAGTTTATTCAACTTATTAACCAAGAAAAAGAGACTAACTGGATTTAATTCAGTAATTCCAAAAAGTAACATCTTTATTTCCTGAACAGAAATACTATTCCTGACAAAACTCATGAATCATTTTACATAGAGACAACATCCCAAACTCACAATACTTCCTTCTTTCATGGCAGGTGTATGGAGAGGCAGAAATCACACACACACACACACACACACACACACACACACACACTTCTTTTGTTGTGTTTTGTTTGGGATCTTTTTTGGGAATTAAGATATATATATCTCCAAGATTTTTAACATCAAAGTGTTTTGTGTAAAATAAAGCGCACAATTAAAAGCTATCAAAATGGAATGAGAACATTTCATGAGGTAACAAAGGCTTGAAACAAAACTATTAGGAATTACTCTGCTTCAACAACACTAGTTGATGACTAAGAAACCAATGACAGGGGCCACTATCATGGTAGGGACTAAGTTACCTATTAAGAACTATAACCAAAGTTGGAGGTTAAGTAGCTTTACTTATGTTTAAAATAGAAACAAAATCCAACAGCACACAAAATACTTAGAAAGATCATTTGCTTAATTTTGACATACTATAATCCCATCCTTTAAATTTTGGCACAAATCTGGTTGCAGTTCACAAACTTTATTCATATAAAAAGCTTGCTGCATTTCAATATATGGCAGTTTATAACTTCCAGGATACTCTTATGAACAGTTCCTAAAATAATACACACAATCCCCCAAACACATCAATGACCTGAAAGAATTATTAACCTATTGTGTACTTACTAAAAAGAATTCTTTATACATTTATTATACATTTTCATTTTACCTTATTTGTTCTGCCAACATATTAGTGCAGAAACTATATTAGGGACAAAACATACTTCTAAACATGGCCAAGAATATGTCAAATAATTTAGGAACTAATTTAAAGTCCCTAATCAAATTTTCTAAGTCAAGGTTAATCAATTCTCCATTTTAATATAAATTAATGAAAACCACCACATGAAAATTAAGCCCAAGTGGATAATGAAAATTCAGTCCAGTAATTTCAAAGTGAATGCAATTAAATTTAAATTTCATTTATTGGAAAAACAGCAGCCACCACAAATTTCTATAGGTTTTATCTTATAATTTTTCAACATTCTACATGATTTTAAATTAGACAGAATAACAAATCTTTTGAATTATGTGTATGCATGTATGCGCTATTCACACACATGCTTTAATAAATTGCCTGGAGGAGGGGACTAAAAATAAAACTTCTCTAGTTTAGCAATAATTTTGCATTTAAACAATTTATGGTATGGAGTGTAACTCAGTGGTAGAAATGCTTGCCTGAAATGCACATGTCTCTGGGTTTATTCTCAAGACAACAAACAAAAAACAATAAAACAAAAACCCACAAAATTTAAAGCCACTTTCTAAATGATCAACTCTGACCATCTTCAGTAAGTACTGTACTTAAGTCATTGCAGGATACTGAAGAGTGTCAAACAATTTTTCATAGCTCATCAGTGCAATACATAATCCCTTCCCATGTTCCGAAAACAAAACAAAACAAAAAAAGAACACTGTCATCACTTCGGGTTAAGAAGTCACAAAAAATTTTATTTAAAAAATGTTTAAGTATTTATTAGAGGGTGAAGAATTTTCATTTAGGTGAGAACTTTTACTTTTTGTGTATAAACTAACTCAAACTATGTCTTTCTTTTCATAATTAAATTTTATCTTACTCTGCATAGCAAAGAAAAATTAATAGTTCTTTGAAATTAAAGACGAGAGTTTAGTTATCATGAAATAGTTCTTCCTGTATAAACTGCTGTCCTGCTGCTGCTAAGGAACACTTAGAAAGTAATAAGCAAACAGGAAACAAACCATAAGCTATAATACTAATTAATAATGAAATATATTAAATGATGTTTAAATATTAAACAGCAAAATACTCCTTGGATATTAAATAAATAAGATTTGAATTTGTCATTTGGGGATATAGGTCAATAATATCACCAATGAGAGATGTTCTAGTGCAAAGAGTGGCCTCAAAACTTCTACATACATACATACATACATACATACATACATACACACACACACACACACACACACACACACACACACACACGACATACACAGATGAAGAAAAAAAAAGAGGGAGGAAACACAACATGTAATACTGGTATTACTTTCAATAACACTTTAAAAAGGGTGAATCTCACTCCTTACACACACACACACACACACACACACACACACACACACACCAGGAAAACTTTTGAAACCTAGTGACAAGTGGGATTATTCCAGAAAATGAAAGTAAGGATTTATATATTTTTCAAATCTCTTCAAATGGTGAGCTTCTGATTAAAACTACATACTTCTTACTGTTACTTAGAAGACTCCAAATATCAGAGAGCTTTACAAGTAAAGCTGGCAAGAGTACCTCCAGTTAGCAACTTATAGGTAAACTGAACATATTAATGTGTATTCATTTTCATTAAACTATCTACTCATTTCTTCTCATTGCTTATAATTCTTTATTTTTAATTCTAAGGTCAAATAAGGTCAAAACTATTTTTATGGACTGAATCACTTATGCTGAAAATACATCATCCATTTACACATATAAATATCTACTGAATGCCTACATGTGCAAGGCACTGTATTAGGTGCTGCTGTAGAACTGAGTCACAAGAGAATAATGAATGATTGGCTGAGCATAGTGAATTTTAATAATTTGTTTTTTTCCTTTATTTTTATAATTAGTCACTAAAAAATTTCATAAACTTACTCAGGAGACCAAAATTTTGAGATTAAAAAAAAAATCTAAAATGCATGTGCATGTTTATGTGTAGGTAATGAAAGAAAGGAGACTATTATACAGAAGAAAGATGAGTTCTTAGGGAAGGGTGAGGTAAGAAAAAAAAGAAATAGATGTGATAGGAAAGCAAAAGGGGAAATGGAGGCCAGAGGGCTGAGGAGGACAGTGGGAAATGGGAAAAGAACAAGGAAAATGACATGTATATACCAAAATGCTGTCATGAATTACGTTTCCACCTTGAATTTTTTTTTTTAAATCTTAAAAATAAAACAAGAAATCCCAGTGTACACAAAGGATCTGATTTCAAGATACATAGTTCTAGGTTTACTAAGTAACAGAGTACAGAGTACACCCAGAAACTTTTGACTACACACAAGAAAATTTAAAATAGAAAAATAAACCATGTTCAAAGTAGATATTTTAACCATACTCTGTTATCAAGTAAATTTCAGATAGTAAGAATAAATACCAAACATCTTTATGGAAAGGTAGTAGTAGTTCATGTCCACTTTATAGTAGTCCTAACAAGTAATTTTAAAGTTTTACATTAAAGTATTACAAGTTTGACTCACTATTTCATCGTGGAGAAAGTTTATTCAGTACATAATTTAAGAAGAGATTTGTATGCTGAGAAATTCTGTGAACAAAGTGAGTTTTCTTTTACCATAAAGAGGATGCAGGGAGAACGGGAAATTGTGGGCAGAACCTACTAAAAGTGTACTACAGTCATTTAAAACATTAGCTGCTTCTCTTCTGTAGAGCCCACTGAATTTCATCTGAATAAATATCTTTTCCATTTTTACTGATAACGGACTTTTGTAGTAAGTTAGTAAAATAAATAATACTTGTTTCCCATTTTTATGATAGCATTAAATTCTAAAGAGGCTAAGAATCCTCACCAGAATAAAAGAAAGAGCTAAATGTTTTATCACCCCCCCTTCCCCAATTTGATAACCTAAGAGATAGCCACTGGGGAAATCAAGATACAAGGTGGGATGGTCAACCACAGCTCTACTGGGGGAAAAATAAAAAAAAAAAAAAAAAAAAAAAAAAAAAAAACATAAAAAAAAACACGGTTTCAAGGAATGCACATTCCTTTTAAGTAGTAAAAGATAAAACCAGGACTCAAGGAGCATGGTCATTCATTGCAGCTTGGATGCAACACTCTGTCTATAGTAGAGAAATAGTAAAATATTTTACTAAGTTAAAATATAGGTTTTATATTTTATACCACATTGAACACACACATAAAAATACCAGTGTTTTTGTCTTGTTTCTGTTCAGACACGTAAGCAAATGTGTTCTTTGGTGCCTGGGAATTTATCAATCTTTAGGGATAATTGAAGATAAGAAGTCCCAAGGTGACATGTGTACAAATAGAAGACTCAAAATCCTATAGCTTATAAGAATCAAAAGCAAACTTAGAAGTAGTTCAAGTTATGCTGTAATTAGGCTAATACATCTCAGTTCCCAAAATCATACTTTAGCTCCCCAAGTAAAAATCACCACAGCCTATTACACTTTAATCTTTGTTTTTTGAGATTTCTTTTCAAGTGGAAACACATCCCAGTTAGAAATATATCACTTTAAGTTTAAAATCATCAAAGTCAACAAAGAGAATATACATTCATTAAATGTATTCATTTACAAAAGAAATCTTGAAAAGGCTGAATTTAACTGAAACTAAAGACTTCTTGATTTTTCATTATTCCTTTTTAAACATGAGTTAGTATAGACATAGTATACACACAGGCTGACTTTCAGCTGATTTAATAGTTACTTCCCTTTGATGGGGTTTTGAAGTTCTAGAGTCTTAAAATTTAAAACCATTCATGACAGTCTTTTCCAGTAAAAGGAATCATAGAGCAATGAAAAATCAGAAGCAAGATGGCTTAGAGAGCCTAATAACTTCTAAATATACACACATTTATAACCTGTATTTATTTCTAGAGAAACAAATTTTAAGTAATGCTAATTTAACCAATAGAGAAAAAGCGTCTATCAAAATATACAATTTCCGTTACAGACTAGAAGGCTAATATTAAAAAAATAGTTGTAAGCCAAAAAAGTTTGCTTGTATGGATGGGAGGCAATGCCCCTTTGAAGCACACAGCATCAAACAAGGTCTTAAAAAAGACTGCTCTGTGGCCTTCTTCATTTGCAAGTTCTTGATGAATTCATAAAGCTTGGGTCTCAGTCTGTAGATCAAGCTATATCCATGCTTCTTACACCAAGTTTTCAGAAAAGGAGGAATCAAAAGATTCAGAATCTCAAATGGGATTTATGCTTTACCATGTACCTGGAGAGGGAAATAGAATAATGGGTTATGATGATAATACAAAAATCTAATAATGGATTATGATGACAATACAAAATTTAAATTTTAAGGATATTACATGTAAAAAGGGGTGACTTCTTTTTTATATCTTAAAATCACTAAGGGAAAAAACACTGAAAACTGGATTCTGTAACTTCTGAAAAATAATAAGTAAAAAGACAAAAAACAAAAAAAAATGAATTTTTCTCATTACATTCTATAACCTAAGAGCCTACTGGAAGTACATTTGTCTTTACATATTATCCATTATAGAATAGATTTGCCTCATGACTTTCAGAAAGCTGACACAATCCAGTAAGGGATACCAAACAAAATATAATTTTCAGGGAACACAACAAATAACAACTGAGTTCAAAGTATTATAATTTGCTCTTCTTAATATTTATAAATTACAGAAGTTATTTTAAAGGACTTAACAGCTCTATTTTAGTAATTCAAATAAATGTAAGAACTAAATTCTTTCACAAGCTTTGAGGGGGGGAAGATCAGTGGTCAGCTGACTCCAGGCTCCCTGAGCCGACAGAAAATGAAGTTCAGAAAGTTACACAGTTCATGAGAGCAAGACCACAAAATCTTTGTCTTCTCATACAGAGTTTAATGTGCCTTCTATCAGACTATATAAACTCTACATATTAAGTCAATAAATCAAACTATTTGTCAATCATCTATTATGTTGGCATCAAATCAGACAATACTCAAAGCAAAGAATTACAGAATATATCATAACTTTAAAGATTTTAAATTCTGATAAAAATCACTAAAATGAAGCATGTATGAGTATATTTTAGAATCACAATTACCTATCCAATGTTTCCCAAAAACGTAAGAAAACTGGTCTATCCAAATGGCGCTTATGATAGCTGAGTTCTAATACCGTTACATCCCATTTTTGAACATTTGGATCTAGACGAACTTCATCATACTTGAGATGGAAGGCTTTAACTACATGGGGAACAGGGAGGAAAAAAATAATATTCTTATTAAAACTGAGGCCAAAATTATGGAAACACTTTCTGGAAAGAAAATACATATAAATACCAAAATAAAAATTACTATCTTTCTACTACCAACTGAAGCTACATTAACATTATAGCCAGTGATCTGTGAAACAACTGCTAAGCATATGGTACCATCAGAAACACTGAGGGTCAACAAACAGTGAGGGTGGATACAAGTTAGCTACTGGAGATGGAAATACCAAATAAGGTAAAATAAATTCATGATTCAGTGAAAATTAAAATGAGTAAATGGAAAGTACAATAAAAATTACTTAGAAACTATTAAAAACAATTTTCTTTGCAAATGCACAATTAATTAAAACAATTCACTAAGGAATTCCGTGTTAGACTTGAAATGACCCATTTTCAGCAGGGAGGTGGTAGCACCCACACCTTTAATCGAAGCGCTTGGGAGGCAGAGGCAAGTAAATCTCTGGGAGTTTGAGGCCAGCCTGGTCTATAGAGTGAGTCCTAGGACAGCCAAAGCTGTTACACAAAGAAATGCTTTCTTGAAAACAAACAACAGAAAAGGCCATTTTCAAAAAAAATGTTATGTAAGCAAACTTTTTTTTTTTTTTTTTTTTTTTTTTTTTTTTTTTTTTTTTTGCTTTGTTTTGTTGTTTTTTCGAGACAGGATTTCTCTGTGGCTTGGGAGGCTGTCCTGGAAGTAGCTCTTGTAAACCAGGCTGGTTTCAAACTCACAGAGATCTGCCGGCCTCTGCTGGGATTAAAGGCGTGCACCAGTAACAGCCGGCTACAAACAGTTTTGTTTTGTTGTTTTGTTTTTAATTTGTGCATTTATAGCTGGAAGGTGGTATCTCATGCTTTTAATCTCAGCATTCAGGAGGCACAGGCAGGAGAATCTCTGAATTTAAGGCCAGCCTGGTCTACAGAGCAAGTTCTAGTGCAGTCAGGTATACACAGAGACCCTGTCTAGAAAAACAAATATAATTGTAAAATTATTACATGAAATACAAATTAACATTTCTAAATACTTTTCATTATGCTTATTACATCCTTTGTTTTTCTAGTGTTAACTGCTTTGCTTTAAATTGCTGCTTATACTATATATGAAGGGGCTGTGGTAATGGCTCAGTCAGTAAACCACCTACCACATGAGTCTTAGTACCTGAATTAGTATCTCTCACACTCACAGTTTGGGCCTTTGTGTCTATAACCCCAAAGCTATAGTACAGAAAAAGGCAGCTCCCTGAAGCTCATTGGCCAGCCCGACTAGTCACAATGATGAACTAAAGGTTGGTTTAGTGAGAATCCTTGTCTCAAAAACTAAAGTGGGGCTGGCATGATGGCTCGGCAGTTCAGGGCACTTGCTGCACAGGCCTGACAACTGAGTTTGATCCCCAGAACTGTCAGTGGAAGGGAAAAAAAAAACCTACTCTAGCTCTCCGGCTTCATGTGAGTCACAGACTCTGTGGGAACACCCCCCGCCCCCAAATTCTTTGTCTCTCCATACCACACACAAACAAAATACATTCATTCTCATTTTTTCTCTGACACACATACACACTAAGAAGAGTAATGAGTAAAATACCTGGTGTTAAGCTCTGGCCTCCACTTACAAATACATTCACATGTACATATGTATATACTCACCTGAATACTCACATACATCTCCACTAAATACATATTAAAAGTTAAAAGCTTTTAATAAAATGATTTACATTTAAATAAAATTATTTGTATGAATTGCTAAAACCTATGATTTTTTAATAATAATTTTTACTGTTATTTACTTCTGATCTAGACTTTTTAAACTTAGTAGCATAGTTAAAAAGAAAATAAGGTTTCCCTCATCAGACCAAAAAAAAAAAAATTCCCATTTTATTTATTTGTTTATTTTGGTTTTGGGGGGCAGGGTTTCTTTGTGTAGTCCTGAATGTCCTGGAATAGACAAAATATTTCTATTGGAGGTACCAATAATGCAAAGCAAACATGCCAGCATATTACCAGAAAATGTAATTGTGACTCAGAAAAACCAAAGTTTTCTAAGCTTCTTCAAGTAAAAACAAAAGAAATTATGTAGTGACACAAAGAATGCAAAAAAATTCATGTGCCTCAGAATAACACCATCTTTAGGCAAAAGTCATAAACTTTGCAAATATTTCCAGCAGGGAACAAAAAATTTATCCTTTTGATAAACAGATACACTAATGGCATACCATGATGAAGAGAAGATATTGTAGAGATTTTAAAAATTTAATAGTAACCAGCAAGAATTTAAAGAAACTATCATTAAAAAAAATCTGAGGAATGGGGCTGGAGAGATGTCATGGTGGTTAAGAACACTTGCTGCTCTTCCAGAGAACCTGGATTCTATTCCCAGTACCCACAGGGCATAAACAACTGTAAACTCCTGCTGCTCCTTCTGGCCTCCATGGATACAAGGCACACACAGGGCATACATACATAAATGCAGGCAAAATATAAATAAACATAAAAAATAAAATAATCTTTTTTAAAATCTTGAGAGCTGAAGATAGAATGCTTGCTTTAGCATGCAAAAGTCAAGGATTCAATCCAGAGCATTCTACTGGAGGAGGGGGCAATTTTCATCAACAAATGTATACAGCTACTCAAACATAAAATATTAACCTACAAATTAAAATTTATTATTCATTTGAAAGGATTTTATTTGGAAACTATATAATTCAGTATCTAATATCTTTGTTAAAATTGGGTCACAATTATGCAATATTGTTACTTTTTACTTATAGTTCATGAAAATACTGCCCAAACTCCCAGGTTTCTCTTATGCTATATAAGTAATTACATTCTTTACTACGTAAATGGTGAGAAAAGCACTGTGATAGTTAATTTATCAACTTGAAACAAACTAGAATCACCTCAGAAGAGTCTTCATGAGGGATTTTCCACCCAGGGCTGGCCAGTAAGCATATCTATGGTGGACCGTCATTACTAAGTTAACTGATATGCAAAGAGTCAGCCCACTGTGGGCAGCACCATTCCCTGAGTCACAAGTGCGAAACTGTTTAAGAGCAGAGAAATCTGTGGTGAGCACAGGCAAGCAAGCAAGCAAGCATAAATGCATTCATTTCTCTCTCCTCTTGACTATGGATGTGTTATGGCTACCCAAACAAAAGTTTTGCCTTGACCTCCTCACAATGATGAACTGTATGTAACCTGAAACTATAAGATGACATAAACATATTTTCCCTCTAAGTTGCTTTTTGTCAAGGTATTTTATTATAGGAATACAAATGAAACTAGGACAAGCACTACGAGCTAAAAGGCAATACAGTCCTAAGTTTCTGGTTCTGGCAAATCACACACACAAAAATAAAATAATAAAAATAATTTTTTAAAAAACCAAAAGACAAAACTAAGCCAGGGATAAAATGGGTGAAGAATGTGGTGTCACTTGGAATGGACTGTCATATTCCTACAAAACATTACCAAGTATTTATCAGGTAGTAAGACACACAGTCCTATAATGTTGAGATAAGAGACACAATTTTTATAAAGTGGGGAGAGAAAAAACTAGAAATGTGAGGTGGGCATTGTGGCATGTGCCTCTAATTCCAGCACTCAGGAGGCAGAGACAGGCGGATCTACATGAGTTTAAGGCCAACTTGGTCTACAGAATTCGTCCCAGGACAGCCAAAGCTGGTACACAGAGAAACCCTACCTCAAAAAACAAAACAAAAAGTTGAAAATGTAAGATTTCCATAAGAGGGTATTCAGAATTTAAAGAGGAATGATAATTTAAAATGTACAGCTGACAGAAAGAACTACCCAAACCAAACCAAAACAAAAAACTTTGAGATCAAATGAAGTCTAGTACTTGAAAACAAGCATTTTACAAAGTAAGAAATGAGTCAACACAGTAAAATTCTGATAGAAGTTAAAAACTATTTAATATTGGGAGGTATAGAAAAACAATTTAGTGAAAGAGCCAAGCTACAGTAGTTACAAAAAAAACAATGTGTGATTGTCATTGTTTGTACATGGTTTGGTTTTGTGATTCTTTTAAATATGGGAGGAAAACATTTTTAACCACTGGCAAAAAGGAGCCAGTATGAAAGCAACAATGAAGACAAAGAATAATTTGCGGAATAAAATCATTGATTACTGTTAAATTCTCAGTATCCTTATCTACCTTGGAAGAATAATATTCTCAACAACTGAAATAAACATATTAATCCCTAATAAAATTCAGTCTTTTTATCTTGAAGACAACCTAACCATCTTTAAAAGACAGACAACAAGGCAAGATCTAAAAAAAGAAAAAACATGAAAACAGGTACTTACATTCATTAACACATTTCCACTCTCTCCATATATTTAACTTTCTATGTGCCAACTCTATGCATTCCTCAAAAATGACATAAAAAGTTATCATAATAACAGCAACGTTGTAATTTATCTTTAAAAGCAGACTGAGGTTAAAAAAAAAAAAACAAAGTAATAAAATTTTAATTTTAGGACAGAATGGTGTTACCAATAAAAATGGGTTGCTAAAATAGCTGGATTATATAATAGTATAATTTACATTCACAATAAGTTGTCACTGATTAAGTACCTATTTTATGAGAATAATTTTTAATTAATTTTACTAACATCAATATTTTAATTGGATACGCCAACTAAGTAATAGTTGGACCATCCCTTCCACCTAATAGACTAATCTACTGTATTAATTCATACCAATGTATGTTCAATAGTGATTTAATATATATGAAATATAACTCATTCATAGGGTATTTATTGAAAGTCTCCATGTATCTGGCATTCTTTTGTTGAGAACACAAAGGTGAATGAATGAATAAAGCAGAAAGGGGCTTCTCCTACTGTGGTACGTGCAGTTGACAAGCACTATTAAGCACTCTCCAAAGAAAGAACACTTGAACTGAGAGACATAAATGAAGAAGAAAGGCCAATCATACAATACCCATTCCAGATTGGGTAGCTGATAAATGTCTGGGACATTTTGAGCTACTGCTGCTATACAGCAAGTCAACCTACATAAGACTTGATATATGCAGGTCTAGAAATATAAGTGAAAACTCATTAATTTATACAATGTACATTATATAAAGCTAGTTATCAATCTTAATAAATATGTACAAGCATATTGAAATATTAATAGTGTAGATAACATAAGATATTTAGCAATGTAACCATACACAAAACACTCATATTTTTATATACACCCACACAGAAAATATTAGTGTACAAAAGGCTTTAAAAATACCTCAGAGGTAGTTAAAGATTAGTATTATATGTTACTTAATGGCAATCCTTTAATACATTCATATACAGGATGACTTACATGTGGCTCTTTCTTTTAAAAAGCTAATTCTATATTGAATAAGCAGTAAACATATGAAGAGAGAATCTTACTTTTAGCAAATATGTCAACTGGTGATCCATCAGGTAGAAGCCATGGCCATCCTTTGAACTGCCAAGCAGGACCTTGAACAAAAACAGCTACAACCCGATCCCTACAAACAGAAAACAGGAAGTGGAAGAGAATAAAATACCTCACACTTGAGCTTTAACTACTGCAAATTAAACTACTACTACTTAAAAAGGACTCTCATAATTACTCAGGTGACAGTCTTCCCAGCAGTCCTCTTGGTGACACAAACATAGCTGACTTGTCATTTTAGTATGTTGGTAGGATATAAACCTTAATGGCCCCAATCCCTACCTAAGTCTTCTGGAGATGGTTGTAAACAATAGTTTCAGGTCATCTTTGTAATCCTTTTTTCTTTCCGTTGAGTCTACTCACAGACTGGAATACAGATCAGTAGCTGATTTATTAATTGAACAAACTGGTTTTAAATGGAAGTTATTGGAAATTCAAGTACATATTAAATATTTAAATTTAATTAAAATACTAAATTACAGGAATTTTCCAGTCACTTTATAATACTCCAAGACTTCTTTTCAAATCTTCTGGTTCCTTAGGAATGAATCTGAGTATGAGAATACCTCAGCTTTTCTAATTTGCCAAGCTTATTTTCCCTAAATGTTAGTTTGGTTTTAAATTAACTCATTTTTTTCAGCTATACAAGCTAGTTTTCCAAGAAAGAACAAATTTCTTTCTAGGTCCTCATATCTCATTATTTTGCAGGATATTTAGTAGTTTAAGCATGCATCAGTCAAGAACAAAATAATGATGGTTACTCACCATTAGTATCACTGACTAAAGTATTTACTAAGTGACAGCATTGTTTTAAGCACATTATAAATTAACCATGTTAATACATTTCATCATCAAAACACTCTGGTGAGATGAATACTAACTGTACCCCATTTTCAGATGAGGCAAATGTATAGCTATGTTATAGAACAGTCCACTAAACAGAAGGCAAAGGGGGGAATGAAGGAAGGAGAATAATGATTAATCTTGGGCACTGGATAGAAAAGTTCCATTTAAGAACTGATCTATCAAGAGAATCACCACTCAAGAGTATTACTACGGAAATAGGTTGCTCTTTAAAAGGTCTTCATAATGCCCAGAGATCTACATACCACACATTAATAATCACTGCCTCAGACAAAAATTCTATACATCTATCAAAACAATTAACCAGTACTCTGTTCAAGACCTACAGCAAGCCATGTGTGGAATTAATGCCAATCACCAGTTTTCAGAAGACTAAAGCAAAGGACTACTGTGAGTTCAAGCCCAAACTAGAGTGAGGCCTTGTTGCAACAGACAAATACACATCCCACAAACTGACAACTAGCAAGGTCACTGAGAAAACAGCAACCTTTAAGCAGCAGCCTCAAAGTTTCTGAGGCTAAAATTAAATCATAAACAAAAGCATTCCCTTCTGTGAAATATATACCCCAAACTTTCAAAAAATCTTCAAATGTATACAGCACACTACTAAATAAGATGTAACTTATACCACATAATTGTTGTGAGAGTATATTACTAGAATGTCAGTATTTTTGATATAGATCTTCATATATACATTAATAATTTTTCCAAGATAATTTCTATTTAGATTCCATTATAAATTATGATACTTGTTTATAACATTTAAAATATGGGCAGACAAGATAACTCAGCAGGTAAATGTGCTTGCTACCAAACCTGACAACTGCAGTTTGATCCAGGACATGCATGTTCGAAAGAGAAAAACCAACACCTGCAAGTTGTCCTCTGACCCCTGCATTCATACCATAGCATACTCATACACACAAAATAAATATTTAAAAAAAAATTTAGATGCAAAGAAAACATTAATTCAGAGAGAATGGGGGAGGGGTTATCTTACCAGTCCTGAGGCATAAGTTTCAGGGGCTGGTCTACTACTCTATAAGGTACTGTGACACTAATTGCTGTGCCCCCTGGTTGCATTTGATCTTTTCTTCTCTGTATTAGTGTTTCATTTTCTCGTTGACAACCTTGTTTCTTCTTTTCATCTGATGGCACAAACCTTTGAAAAAGTAGAGAAAAAGTACACAAAATGATGAAACTAGGAAAACTCATTTTCAGATAATTTTTGAAATGTTAGTATTTCAAGGTAAAATGTTTGCCTTTATGTGTAAATCTTAAGAGTTGCAGAGTATGGGTCTTTCCTTTTCATTTTATTTTGATTTTGGTTTTCAAGACAGGTTTTCTGTGTAGTCTTGCCTATCCTATCCTGGAACTAGCTATGTAGAGCAGGCTAGCCTCAAATTCAGAGACCCGCTTACCTCCACCTCCCTAGTGCTGGGGTTATAGGCATGTGCCACCACTGCCAGCTGGTCTTTACTCTGTATACCAAAAAGAAGCAGTATTTCACTTGTACCCTATGTCTCCGTATAAACAATGTGTATTCGTTAATGAGCATACAGTAGTTGTAACACTAATTTTATTTCTGAAATGCTATTAATGACAGGACAGCATAATGATAAATCAAAAGGTCGTTTAAAAGAAAGATGCTTCGTGCTTGGACAGAACTATTCGCTGGGAGATTCAACTTATGCCAATTTTCACAACTTAAAGAAAAACCCTTCTATACTTTTATATTTCAGAAAAAATTAGAAAAGTGACAAACTTCTGTGTTACTTTTAATACTTTTAATATTACTGTAGGGAAATCAGCATATTATCAATCTGTTCTAATAAACACATCTAATACTATCATATAATAGTATTTAAATAACTCTGTGGCTCAACTTTCTACTGTGTCCTTCCCACAGAAGACACACTATATGTTGGGGCATGTGGCTGAATAAAAGGAAACTAACAGAACACCAGCATTTATCTCTGCTTCCTGAATCTGATACAGTGTAATAACCTGTCTTACTCTCCTGCTGCCAGGGCTTTTCCCATACCCTCCCATTGTGAGACAAAAGGAATCCAAGTTGCTTTTGTCAAGTATTCGATCAGAGCACTGAAAAAGTACCTGATACTTAAGCATTTATAAACACTCTAATTTTTAAAATAAAATCTAAACACACGGTCATTAATCACAGCTTAGCCCCTCCAATTAGATCAGGAAATAAATCACAGCACTTGCAGAATACGTGCTACCAGAGGGTAGGGAAGAAGGCAAGCACTCAGGGGTGGAATACGGAATTCCATACTTGGGAGGGCTCCTTGAAATTTTTCATAAAGTAATTCTAATTTTGTGGTCATGGAAGGTTTTAGTGCTTGATAATAACAATACAGGACGGTCTGGAGATGACCTAAATTCATATTTATTTTATAGATGCTAATCAATTACTCCTGTTTAACTTTTGCTTGTTTTTAATTAATCAAGCTTATATAGAAAATATGAAATTTAACAGCAACACTTTGAATAAAGAATCTTAAAATATTGTTTATAATGTTGGAAACAATTCTAAATCAAAAAGAACTATGAATGAAGGTATTTAGTAAACTTGCACACACAATGGAACACATTCAACGTTAGAACACATATACACAGTTGAGTCCTGTGCTCTTGAACTCATAATCAGATGAGCCAAACAAGAGTTCTTACCACCAAAACCGAAACTAAGTTGGTTTTCTTTGCCTCAGTTTATAACTAGCTGAAGTTAAACTGTTCAAATTTTTAAATACATTTTTCTTTTTGGATTCTGAAATGTTATAAAGTACATCAATAATGAATTACAAAATAAAAAACAAATATCCAATTAATAGAAGTCATATACCTAATTCAACCTATTTCCAAATAAATAAGAGTTATGTAGCACCTGCATGTTTCCACACTGGCTGTTTCAATTTTATTAAAGTTCAGAACAACTCATGTGGTTCAGAGTTTTAAAAATAACTAATTTTTTTCATGTGTTCTAGTATCTTAATGTTTGCTTGTGTTGAGGCATTTCATATTTTAAGAACAGCAAAGCTCCTCTGTTAACAATAACAAGCAGCTCTATTTCAAACTACTTTGGTCAGTTGATAGCATAATAAACATTATGACCACTTCTGAAGTTCACTGAGATTAATATGCCACCTGTTCATCTTACTGAAGGTCATTAAACCTAAGGGACACTAAGGACTAGGATATACACTCTATCAAACCACTAAGGGAAACAAAAACAGTAACTTCCAATTAAGCTCCAGTACTTTGATACTGTACATAACTCAAAGCCACCATCCCTCTACTGGAAGTGACTATTTCTCCTAACAGACTGTAATGTTTGAAGTTATGATAGAAAAATTTTCATTTATACCTCAAGAACAAAAAGCAGCAGAGCTTTATCTAGACTACAGGTTCTCTTAGATATCAACTAAATGCTCTATAAAGAGCCTTCAAAATAATTACAACAATGTAAGCTAGCAATCATTCCTCTCACAAGGAGGAATTTACTTTAACCTATTTTTTGCACATATAATATTGGTATAAAATTTATACACAATTAAATTTGAAAAAGTTTTAATTTGTACCCAGAGCATGCTCATAAAAACTATAATGTGATAATCCAGTAAGACACCTTGTGCGCCTTCAATCAGTCAACTCCCATCACTCTTCTCAATCACTTTACATTCTCATCCGCATACACTGGTTGTACCATATTCATATACACAAAGTCACATAGGACATAATCCTTTGCAGCTGGCTTCTTCAATCAAGTGTTTCTAATATTCATTTATACTGTGGGAACACAATCAGTAGTTTGTTCTATTACTGCTGTGTGGTATCTATCATTACACGGTACTGAAAATGATTTGTTCTTGCTAATGGTGGGTGAGTGGGTATCACAGTTCATTTGAGGTGTTATAATAAAAACATGACAGACAAGGTGGCTTATAACAACTTTTATTTCTAGAAGTTGAGGTCAAACATCAAGATACTGACACACCTCAAACCCAGGGAGAAAGGAACTACTTAACGGTTCAGCCTGCCACCTGCATGCCACATTCTCACAGTAAAGAGAGCAAGAGGTTTGAACTGCAATGGTATTAATCCTATTATTAAGGGCAGAGTTCTCATCTTAATTAGCCCCAATCTTAGTTACTTTTCTAGTTGCTGTCACAAAAAAGGGAAAAAAAAAAAAAACCCACTTGACATATAAAACTTAAGGGGGTCCAGTCAGTCCTTCATGGCTGGGAAGTTATGGCAGCAGAAGCCTGAGGAAGCTGGTCAAATTGCAATTACAGTCAAGAAGCAGAGAGCAATGAATGCCCTCACAGTTCACTTTCTTCATTTATCCACTGTAGAACCCCAGCCTGTAGAAGTACTATCCAAAGATTCACTGGTCTTCCCATCTCAACTAACCTGTACAGACAATGACTCACAGGCATGTTCAGAGGCCTGTTTCCTAGGTGATTCTAGATGCTGTCAAGTTGACAATTTCAACCAATGAATCTCCCAAAGTCCCTTCTTTTGTTTATATATCATCATATATATATATATATATATGAGATTAGACAGCAGGAACATATAGTCAATCCTCACCAGAGAGGTTCTAAGACATGGGTTAGTACAAATAAAGCTATCCCAGGAGTTACATTAGTGATTTATAAACATACATTTTCATTCTTTTATATAAACATTTTGCAGTGGAATTCTTGAAACATGGAGTACATTTAACTTTTTAAGAAGTTGCAAAGAAAAAATTTAAGAATACCTTCTATTTTGTATTTTCACTAAAAATTCCTGAGAACTAGATTTTTAATTTTGCCTTCTAATGGGTGTGTACTATCTCCTCATGTGTTTACTAGACTGAATTCTTTACTACGGTATCTAATCTTTTGCTTCTGAGTCTTTTTAATATTAGTATGTAGGAGTTCCTTACGTACCGTAGACATGTCTTATGTTAGAAATGTTTAATGAGAAAGATGAAAATTGTGTCAGGGTTGCCACCAAGGCCTGACAACTGTAAGATGTCCATCATCAATTGTAGAATATATTTTAACTGTTGCACCAACATTAAGTCATAACACAAAAGTTTACATTTGATTAAAGTATGCAATGATTTACTTGACTAAACAAAAAATATGATCAAAGTGCTACAATACTATTAGTTTGGTTACTCTAGATTAATTACCAATTATCAACCTACATCTTCTATTGCAATTCCCCTTACGCTTTAGAAGTATCGGTTAATGATAGCAATGGCTAGATAGAAAATAATTTAGGCTGTCAAAGAAAAGGCAGTAAAAATTAGCCCTTTAAGTTATATCCAAGTCTTAACAGAACAAACAATCATGTTTTATTTCTATGTCTCTCCTTGCTTAGTAATTTAGCTATATAGCAGCATCTGGAGGGATAGTACATCAGACAGCTAAATATGAGAAAAATTTTTATTTGTTTACCAAGCTTTAAATGTGTTACTAGAAAGAAGTATTTAATACTAAATCTAACTATGTTTATTTCACTAAGAATTTATCTTATTTAAAGTGATACTACATTAATAATTTTACAACTGACTTTCTTAAAGAAATAGCAATTTACTATCTCTCAACTGTCACTCAGACATGATGCACACTAGTTGTGTGCTGCTCTGCAACATTATCTGTGAATATTAGATAAAGTGAAAAACAAATCTGAAAAAAATTATTTAGATAAAACCATGTTATTTGAGATTTGTCATGGTTAATGCTGTCAAATGAACAGATCTAGAATAACCTAAAACACAAGCCACCTAGCAAGTTTGCTAGATTGGGTTATCTCCTATTTAACTTCAGTTTTCAACTGAACACAATCCTGAGTTACCTAAGGAGTCTCAACTGAGGATTGCCTAATCAGACTGGCCTGTTAGCATGTCTGACTTGCTAACTGATGTAACAGGGCAATACAATATCTAGACAGAGGATCCTGGGCTATATGAGAAAACTAGCTGAGCAGAAGCTGGGGAGTAAGCCACTGACAGCATACTTTCATGGTCTCTGCATAAGTTCCTGCCCTGCCTGCATTTTACCCCAAGTTCTCTCAATGATGGACTATAACTTAAGATAAAATAAATCCTTCCCTCTCAAAGCTGTTTTTGGTCATGGTGTTTAA